AAATTGCTCAAATGTTTTGGCTGTTTTTACCGTGTATATACATACATACATACATAGTAATATACATGTATATATATAATATGTATGTGTGTATATATATCATACTATATATATGTATAGTTTTAAAATTGAACATTAAAAGCTTTTAGGGCATAAGTTATCTTTTCATGCCTCAAAAAAAAAAAAAAAAGACAATTTCCTTTTCTGTGTTTCCTTACATAATGCTCTTCTGGGGTGGTGCTTCTGCAGGAACCGACTCACCCCTGTTTAGCTGTGGATACATGAATCCGTATTTTTTATTCTGCATTCAAACTCGTTCATCATATCTAACGCCCTTGAAGCAATCTCCAATTACTGTTATTACACGGGTCACTAGAAACCAGAGGCACTAATACAGATTTTTTGAAAAGAGAAAGAGGAAAAAAACAAGCACCACACAATTCGATGCTGGTTAACGGTTGAATCCATTTGATTTTATCACGAAATCCAGCCCTTCCTCCTGAGCTGTCTGTGAGCGAGATAAGCGGAGGACGTGGGGCTCCGGCCGGCGGTGCAGGGCTGTGTCCCTCGCCAGCCAGGGTGACACCGGCGGGGACGACTGTGGCATTGCAGGGCCTGCGGAGCCCGCGGCCGCTCTGCCCTCATCCTCAGCACAATCTTTCTATTTCATTAATTTTTCATGGATTTTCATTTCACAGCAAGCCGGCGTCTGCCATCCATCTGCTCGACTTATTTTGTTCCTTTTGCCAACTTTTTATTTGCATTTCACAACATTCAGCAACCTGCCCGTTCCCCACACCTTCCCATGACTCATGGCTTTACTTTTATAGAGCTACCTCGTGCTCAAAATGCATGTTCAAGTTTCTCCAACTCCGTATAACCAACCACTCTAGAACAATACCTAAATTTCAAGTTAACTTATTTTGCTGTCAAATGCCTCAAAGAGGTGTCCTGTGCCAAAGCTCAAAAGCAACCCGAGGGGCCCCGGATGGTTGCGGATCCTGCATCGCCAGTGGCTCCCGAAGCCCCTTCCCCTTTCCGGTTAATGAAGATTGACACGCCGCTTCCAAAACGCCAGCCTTCAAGGTACCTTGTGGAACCAGCTGACTTTGGATTGGCTCTCAATCTATTTCCAAATATGTTTGCCTTGAAAGAGCCTTTTTCAAAGAAAAATTCTGGCAACTTCAGTCATTTCATACATTGTACACAGTAATGGGTAGAAGATTAAAAATAGTTCATTTGCAAAATGACTTTCATGCCAATGCCTAGCTTCTTTTAGAAAAAATACATTCACCAAAGAGAGAAAAACAGATAGACAAAACAGAATATATGCACTGTTTTAATAACTAAAAACATTTAAGAAATTCCTCATACATATTACCCTGAAGTTATCCCAGGGTTCAGAGATTTATTGGCATATTTTAAAGTGATTTGTTTTTATATACTATACTGTTTGGACGAGTTCTGCCTCTATTCTACCTGGTTGAACTGATACTAACAAAACAAAATCTTTAAGCCTTTTCCTTTATTAGTTTTTGGATAAAATGTATCCTTTCATAACACTTACGCATTGAGCTATTTCTAATACAGGCAGATATTACTCTCTATAACCACATAATATGGATTTGGTTGTACATAATTACCTTGTATAATTCTACCAAGAACTATAAAATAAAGTGCAATCTCCTGTTACTCTCTGTGAGATATGAACTCTGTGGGTATTTAGTGATGGCAGGTAACAGTCTTCATAAACTCCAAGTGCTATTATTTTCCGAACGCCTCTGAATGAGGTAGGCGCGGGACATACTGACGTGTCTGGCATGTGTCATGGGATATGAACATCGCTTTGCCATTGACGTGAAAATGAGAAAGGTTTTCCCTGTCCTTCCCACAGTTTTTTTATTTTTATTTTTATTTTTTATAGCAGCTTGTTTTTCTCTCATATGAGAGTCAAATTTTGGCATTTTTTCATTGACATAAAAAATTTAAACCATTTATGAATAATTTCTAAAAGAAAGTCCCTACTGAAAAATAACACAGAAAATGCAAAATTGTACAACACTAGGTCCCAGTAAAATAACAGAAGTAGGATTGATGTGTGGGGAGACATATTCTGAGAATCTTCTTTAAAGTTTATCTGAGAGAGAAATACAGGTTCCTGCCAAATAATACCTGAAAGTCATATTCTGTGATGAAGGTTTTTTTTTATTTCTTTTTTTTTTTTATTTTTAAAGATACATACAGCTTCCTTTGTGGCATGGTAACTAAAATATACCTTCCACAGGCAAGAATGATATTTCCAAGACTATGGATTGTACTTAATGAAAGTATTGTGTCCTGACCACACTTCAGCTGTAGCCTTGGTGTGCTTTATTTCAGAGCTCATAGATCATTTTGATAAGAAGCGTATCATGCCAAAGTCACTCTCAGAGTCACACATAGAAAAGGAGCCAGATGTCACCACACTGGGAAACTAAAAGTTATCTTGCGTCTTCAGAAATGATTCTTGTCCCTTAGACTAGGTGGAAATATGCATCTCACAGGCAAGAGGGTCAGCACGTATCTTAATCGTCTTTATTCCCCTAATAAGACAGCTCTTACTTTGTGCTTCTATCAGCGTCTTCAGTTAGCACCCGATAGAGACACACTAGAATTCCTTAACAGTCTCTCATACACACGTGGAGTTTAAATTGTGGCAAGTATAGAGTTTTAATATCAGATAAGCTTAAAAGCTGAGGTTATTCTATTCATTTATGGTTGTTAAGATTGATGACAATTAGGACATAATTTAAACTCACCATATTTTTTTAAAAAATAAAAAAATCAGCATCTGTAATAATTAGGTATTATAGATGAAGTAATCAATTCTCAAGAAAATGCAAATAAGTATTTAATGTGTCTCTTAGCTGGCTATGTTACCTTTCAATTTGATCAGGTACATCTACGTGGTTAATGTTTCCCCCAAAATTGAATATTTAGCAGTTTGATTTCACTTTCCTATCAAGATAGCTGCTGGCAGGTGCCATGGGAAATTCTCCTGCACGCCAGAAATCTCTTCGTAATAGAAATCAGTGTACAAATCCTCAATGCCCTTTCTGGTTTCAATTTTTGGCTTTGAAAATTAAGGGACTTGATATATTCAAAATAATCAAGGTATGGAAATATTTGCTATAGGAGTTTTATTTTGAATCACTAAAGTTAAGTTTGCAGCAAATGAAGTCTTTCCCCAGATTTCCTTTTTCCCCCTAAATTGAATACTTTCTAAGCCAGCACGACTGATGCTTCATGGTAAGGCAAGTGAATCTGGAGAAAGGCAACAATTTCCTCCAGTTTATATTTCTATAAACTGCATTATTGTGAACTATTACTCCACGTTCTTCAACTCTAAATGTTTAAACAGACTAATCAAAAATATTGGGAAAGGTGAACACTTGAAGTGTAAAGATGATGCTTCCTTTTTCCTCTTTTAAAAGTCGTATTCATTATTCAGTCCGGTGACTTTCTCAATATCAATGCCACTTTGTGTTGGCATTATCTCTGAAGGACACTAACAGGTCTGTTTCAAAATGATAATTTCAAACAACAAAGTGAATCGCAAGCGCACACTTAGCAGCTGAGAGGTAAATGAGAACCACAACCGCACTCCCTTTCTGAAACCAAAGGCTCCAAAACCTTTTGAGGAAGTTGTAGGGGCCAATCCCTCCCAGTGTTCCTGACATTCGATCATAATGAATGTCTGTTTGCTATTGACATTAATGCCTTCAGACTGTCTGGGTCATTTCTATTATTGCAAGAAACAATAAAGGACCTGGCGACGGTTAGAGGGCATACAGGAAACGGTCTGGTAGAAACTTATCTTAGGCCAATGCAAAGATGAAAATTCTCCAGGAAAGATGGACAACCCCAAACATACCTAAGGTTGCCTCCTGCTTTCAAACAACTGGCAAAGCTGATCAATTCTAGCTGTGTTTTCCCAACCATTCTTTATACTCCTACCTCACTTAAAAAAATCGGCACATTTCAAATCATGATTAGAACTGAACTTTCTCCTGCAGGCTCACTAGTAGCTGACAATAACACAGGCTCCTCTTTGGGAGAGAAGGGTCGGCATGAGAAGAATCTTTTAATCCTTCCTGGCATGCACGCAGGCGACAATGGCAGTGGGGGCATTGCTCTCATATTGGAGCGATTGCTAATTTTGCACAATCCCCAATGTGAAAGCCCTCGCTTGCTGTAGCATTGACCAACTTCAGCACGGCCCAGCCCCGGGAATATCAGTAACAAGGCACAGCGTGAGTTTGTCAGTGGCAACTGTCAGCCGGCTGCTTTTCCTGCTTTCCTGGTTTGCGGGGTTTTTTCCTACCACTAACAAAATATGATGCTTCTTTCTGTTTTCCTGTATTCATTTCTGCTTATTTCTCCAAGGACGAGCCCTGTGTTCTCTCAACGTCCCAGTGTTTACAAATCGACGGACACCACATTGAGTAAAAACTGCCAGCCAATTTGGGGAGGCGATCGCAGGGCTTCGCCCACCCCTTCCTCGGGGACAGTTTGGATGGGAGTAGCTGGCGCCAGGGCTCGTTCCCCCGTTTTGGGTAATTCCTCTGGCACCGGGAGACGAGGTGGCCTCCGGAGCGCGGAAGGCAGTGCCCTCCCGGCCGGCCAGTGGGGACTGCGGGGCCCGGAGACGCGCGGGGTCCACCGGGAGCTCCTCGCAGCCCTTGCCCCACTTCGTCCCGGTCCCTCAAACATGTCACCGCGTGGCTGCTCACTGTCCCCTCTGGGCACGAGGAGGCCCCAGACATTTCCACGGGATCTGAACTCCCGAGCGCCCTGCACGGAGCGGCTATCCCGCCAGCACCCCAAAGTGAAGCTGCTCACAACGGACAAGCCTGGAGACCCCAGGAGAGGCCGGGGTGGAGAAGCCGGGGGTGGAGAAACCGGGGGTGGGGAAGCCGGGGGTGGAGGGTGCAGGGGCCGGCGCGCCACGAGGTCCTTACCTTTCCGCTTGGACCTCCGCCGCCTCCTCCTCTTGGACTTGCATTTGAGTTGACTGCTCAGCCCTCCAGAGCCTCTGCCGCTCCCCAGGACTGAGGCCATGGCCGAGACCCAGGCGCGGAGCCCAGAGCCGCCTCCCTCCTGCACCTGCACCTGCCTCCTTCCCGGCCGCCGGCGCCGCCGCCGCTGCTGCGAAGCTTGAGGTTGCAAACCCGGGAGCGGCTCACTTTTCAGGACGGAGCAGGAGAGCGCGCTCCGACCGTCTCTCTCCCTCTCTCAGGTTGTCTTCTGTGACTTGCTCCCACTGGGCTGGGAGCCTCGGCTGCGCGTCTGGCGCGAGCTGCTCCCTGGTCCGGGAGGGCGGGGAAGGGCGCGCGGCGCCCGGAGTGCTCCGAGCTTCCCGCGGGCTCTGCCTGCTGCTCCGGGCTCCCAGCGCAGGGAGGCTACTTTTGCGCCTCTGCTAGTTGTTTGGCACCAGCCACTTTGAAGCCAATCACGCAGGGAGCTTGTCTATTTGCTGCCGCAGCGTCTAATTAGATCCAATCACAACCGCTTTCGGGCTCTGACATCAGCAGCAGCCCCAGCCTCACCGCCGCCCCGCAGCTTGCAAACTCAGCTCCCATTTGGACGGTGAAGCTCCCAGGACCGGCGGCTGGAGGGAGGCTGCTCCCGGGGAACAAGGACGCGGCGCGGGTGCGTCTGGGAAAGGCCGGGGGAGCCTCCGGGAGGGACCCTGCCCGGGAGGACGAGGCCTCCTGCTGCAGCCACGCGGACAGCTCAGCTCGCCCTGCTCAGAAAGACACAGGAACGGGTTTCTCCAAACAACAGTTTTTAACTAGTTAATTCATTATCATGCTCCTTGAGTCAAGGGGGGGAAATACCTCTTCCAGAAATGCAGAGACCGCACTTCCTCAGAAACGGACTGAGGTTTGCAATTCCCCAGGAGACAGCGTCCTGAGGGGTATTTATTCCTCAGAGCCTGCATGCTTGTCTGTTTGCTTGTTTGTTTGCCTCTTGTCTCCCCCTCTTCGTATTCCTTGGCCGTTTCCATTGCAAAAGATAAATCTTGCATAAAGACAGAGGTTTTGGGATCTGAGTCTGATTTTTGCCGTCAGGAATTTCATGTGTTGCTTTATTTAGGGAACAATGACACAAAAGGAAGAGAAGGCTCTCATCGGAGAGTTTTGTTGTCAAATGTAATATCTGGATGAAAGAAAGTAAGATTTACAAAGGAGTGGATTGCACATTGAAACAGTTTTAAGCAATTTTTTTTCCAGGAATGTCCTATGTTTCAGGATTATACTTATGGAACCCTAGAAGTCTTATGTAAAATATAAAGAGGAATAGAATCTGGTAATCATCATTGCATCTTGTATTTAAATCACATAAGCTTTTAATTATGATCCTTGTGTCAAGGGGGGACAATAGTCATGTTTTTTTAAAAAATCCACTCTAAAATTCATTAGCACACATTAACATGTTGATATAAAAATGGCACACAAATATTTCTGCTATTCATTGCCTCACTTGCAACCTTTTCAAGCTGCCTATGGGCCTAGAAATTTCCAGATAATTTTTATTATAAGAAAAAATAATCACTCTGGGGAACATTGGAAATAATTAGGACATTCCTGTGTTGTTATGTGCTAAGCCGATAGATCGTAGCTCAGTTTTCATTGATGAAAGACAGTAAGACATTTGATTTCAAATCTTAACTCTACTGCTATGACCTTGGGCAAGTTAAACCGTGCCTCAGTTTCCTCATCTGTAAACTGGCGATAACAACGTCACCCACCTCATAAGTTCATTCATACTCTTGACTCAGTATCAATCAGTATAGACAGGAACTGGAACATGTTAATTACTCCATGATTGTTTATTAAATTTTTTCCAGCAAATAATTTGAAAGGAATGAGCGTATGTTACAGACAGGCCTCAGAAAGACAGGGCTTCTGTATTTTCCTTTGAGAACCTTCTAGTTCAAGTCAGACTGAGGACCACCATCAAACTAACATCCCTCTTCAGTGCTGGCTTCAACAACCCTGTTCCCATGACAGCACAGCTCAGCACTGCTGATAATTCCCAGCGAGGGTTAAGAAGGCACACAGCTCTCTCACTCCCTCTCTGCAATATGCAAGATATTTGAGTGCTTAAACTATATCGAGAAACACAGCGCTAGGACTCTGCCTGTGAAACTTCTGAGCTTCACACAATGTGCCTGCACTAATCCAAAGTTGCCCGACTTCTGTATCTGCAGAAAACCCAACAGGAAGTGGAGTCACCGAAGGAAGGTGCTTCAGAGGAGCTTCACAGACACACACAGCCCCCACAAGGTGATCAGCATTTATTAATGGCCCCAATAGCTCCATCACCACACAGAGCAACCATGCTGTCTGGGAGACTTGTATACACTGACCCTTGTTTCACTCAAAGGGCAGGTATGGTGGCCAGAAAGTAACGTGTCTAAATTATATGTTCTTCTGATGTTGGTGGAGTGGGGAAACAAAGCTGAAAACTGTCTTTGAACACTTCATTTAGACCCTAATTTGAAAGTTAGTCAAGATCAAAATTTTGGCAAACCTTTTTCTCGAAGTTCCTCCAATTCATTCATTTTTGTATAATTTATGAAAATGCTGTTTTCACAGAGATACACGCTGTTTTCTGTATTTTATTTATTTTGCATAAGACGATGCATAATAGATGATGCTAGGGTGATGGCTGGGCGAGAAAGCGTTTGCTTCTCATCATAGAGAGGCTTTAAAGAAGAGGCTTGCAGCGACAAGTACATTAACTCCGGCGTGGTCTCCAGCACGTCTCACTCTGCTGTTGCAAGCAGGGCTGCGAGTGAGCAGTGCGGGTAAGCTGCCATTCCCCGATGAGCCTCCTCACCTCCTGCCTGTTTCCCACAGTGCCTCGGCGCAGCTTGGCAGTGTGGTGGGATGAGCAGCAGTTGGAAGAGACTTCAAGAGCAAGAGCCAATCTCACCCGGTGCCCATCAGGAGATGTCGCTGTGGTGTCCCCAGCTACTTCATGCTCAGTCCCTGCTCTTCCCACAGAACAAAGCGCTAGCAGAGAGGTTGCAAGGAGGAACCAGGCAGCTACGAAGCCAACTGCAGCCGGGCATGAACCTATTGGGGCGGGGAGGAGATGGGTGAGGCACAGACAGGAGCCCCTGGCTGGATGGGAGGGGCAGTGCTGCCTCCACAGTGAGTCCCCACACCCAAGTGGCAAGTGTGTGCCGGAGCAAGTGTGTGACCCTTTCTCAATCAAGGCCAGAAAGGGTCCTCCTGCTGGAGTTGCTTAAAGCTCCACCGACTCACCGTTGCTCTCATCAGTCCTGCAATGTTCCCATGACAGCACAGCTCAGCTCTGCTGATAATTCCCAGCGAGGGTTAAGAAGGGTTAAATATCCTGTGTGATATTTTGCTTGTTTCTTCAAGGTCTGTCTATCCATAGATCACAAGCACCACAAGAGGCAAAACCACGTCTCTCTGTGGCTTTGCTGCTCTGCAGGCACCGATGTGGGACACAAGTGTCCTTGCCTGGCAGATGCTGATACCTACCACTGGGGCAGTGCTTGCTCTGCTCAAGGTGTGGTTCTGAGCTTAAATATTATAGTGACTCTCATTTAATGCACAAGACCTCGATGGCAGCAGGACTGAAACAATATTCATTTTAGAGATGAGGAAGAAGAGGCTCAGACAACTTAGGTAACTTGCCAGAAGTCACACGGGTTACTAGTCAGGATTCACACTCAGCGCATCCTAACTTCACAGCCTGGGGTTGTTACCACGATGCCCTGCTGGTATTTTATTCTGCAGCCTGAAATTGGTGGATGTTGTGAACTTCCACAAGCCTTCTTGAGATAAGCAAAAAAATACATTAAATAGTGACTCAAAGCTTCAGTAAGCCTATGTGTGTGCATAGTATACACATGTATAAAAAAATCAGAATTTTTCTTTCCTCAGAACGAACATATGATATGGACAGAAAGACCTTATCATCCTCATTTTTCCCCTGAGGTTACGAAGGTGAAGTGTGAAGTCTGGATTCGTGTCATGTTGCCAGATAGCAGCAGAGCCATGACCTGAATGGAAGGTTCCAATCAATACATCCCCAAAATAACAGCCATGAGGAACTTCATAGAATCACATAACTGCCCTGACCTTTTATTTCTGCAAAAGAGAGACCTAAGACATCCTTCCTGCGGCTGACCACACAGATTGCATCTTTTAACCCAAATTCAGGTCATCTTGTGTCCACTCCTGAATGTTTTCCTCTCAACTCCTTGACCCGTCTGAAGACATGGACAACCATTCTTTGCTTCAAAGTCCTGATGGTCAATACTGACTTATAGTACTTCAGTTCTTAATGCATTGCAATGTGTGTCTTTCCAGACAGTTAATTTAAGGGGTTGATTGACTCAATTTCTTACTGGTTTCCCAAAACAAGTAATGCTGACAAACAAACATGATTTCTTTAGAATCAGAATGCTAGTTAATATCCCCTTCCCTCCATCAGACAATTTTACCAGGTGGAAAACAGCAGAACAAAGGATTCCCTGGAGATACTTGTGTTTGCTGACTCACTTTGTCATCACATATGACACACAATTATGACTTTTTACAAGAAATAGCACAAGGGGATTTTTTTTTACTCTTTCATCTTCAGCCATTGCTCTTAAATTTAAATAACTCACATCAAAGAACTTGGGCATGAGACCTGAAAGCATTGCCAAACAATATTGTGCAACATACCTGCTATGCCACGTGCACATGTATGCACATTCTCCTTAAAGGGCAAGGAAGGAGGCTGGTGAAGTGGAGGGGGCAGCAGAGAAGTCCCAGGATGCAGAGAAGCTTCTTGAATATGAAATGCTCTTTATCCTACACTTTTATCAGAGTTATTTTTTTTTTTTTTTTTTTGACGGAGTCTCGTTCTGTCGCCCAGGCTGGAGTGCTGTGGCGTGATCTTGGCTCACTGCGAGCTCTGCCTCCCGGGTTCATGCCATTCTCCTGCCTCAGCCTCCCAAGTGGCTAGGGCTCTACACCCCCCCCCCCCCCCCCCCCCTTTTTTTTTTTTTTTTTTTTTTTTTTGTATTTTTAGTAGAGACGGGATTTCACAATGTTAGCCAGGATGGTCTTGATCTCCTGACCTTATGGAATTAGTTTTCCCCTTTGTTCATTCTTTTTCTCGGAGGCATGCCTACGGTTTGAGAGCACCAAATGCACACTTAGGAACTTCCTGAATGAACTTGGTGTGGAGCAGGTGGGCGGATCACCTGAGGTAAGGAGTTCGAGACCAGCCTGGCCAACATGACGAAACCCCGTCACTACTAAAAATACAAAAATTAGCGAGGTATGGTGGCACACATCTGTAGTCTCAGCCACTGGGGAGGCTGAGGAATGAGAATCACTTGAACCCAGGAGGTGAAGCTTGCAGTGAGCCGAGATTGCACCATTGCCCTCCAGTCTGGGCAACAGAGTTAGACTCCATCTCAAAAAAATAATAATAATAATAAATAAAATAAAATAAAAGGACAGCACTTGGAAAATACAAGTGAAAAAAAAATCCTACATACATAGTCACAAGAGCAGACTCCAAATTCTGCTTCTGTTGGTGCTATGGGTCTAACATACTGGGGAAGACATAACCCTTTCTGAACACCATCTGTAAAAGGAGGGAAAACAACGGCACAGAACTGCTATGATGATAAAGAAAAAGGATGTGAATTTCTTTGTGAATGATCCTGACATGCCAAAGTCATGTAAGATGTTTAGTGTCCTCTTTTAATACAGCTGATTTTAATCACTAACGTACCTGTGACCAGGTGAAAGCACCGAAAATCAAGATAGTCTTTAAAATCCAGGGAACACAGGGATGGAGGCTTCCATCTCACAAGCCCTGGAGGCTCCCAGGCCCATTTATTATGCAGCACAGGTGACCTCAAGTCATCCATCTTTCCGCAGGGCTAATTGTAACAGCTGATTCCATTTCTTCCTGAGGGTCTGGGTCGTTCGTGCGAGGGCTCTGCCAGCTTCAGGGAGAATGTGCTGATCAGTTGTTTTATGATATCTGTGGCCTTTGGATAGAGTGAAGTATGGTATTTTACTACTAAATATTTGTGCAGGATATGAGAAATAATGGCCTGAAATAATCCTTTTCAATATCCTAGATAGGTTCAATTACTTACATTTACATTGACAATGCCCTTGGTTGCTAGTTTCTGAAATGGCAAACCTTAATATTTTATAGAATCATAAAAATTACCATTATTTAAAGCTACATTAATGCACGGCCCACCCTCGGTGTTTCTTTGTGTCTTAAACGAGTATGGTTCAAAGAGTTATTTTTTCACACTTTCCAAATCTTCTCTTTGAACCAGTGATTTTCAAAACGAACGATGTCATATCCCCAGAGCGCTGTGTGACAGCAGGAAGAGAGAAAGAAAACAAAACACAGATGGAATTAATGGTTTGGGGTGTTAATCGATGTAATAAATTGAAAGGAAAGGATGAAAGCTTGTCGGGAATACATTTCTGTTATTTAAACTAGGGTAGGCTGATGTAATGAATTTATTTCAATTTTCCACTCTGATGTTTAAAGTCTAAACACTTCATTTCCTCCTCCAGCTTCCTCAGTTCTCCTGGTATCTGAGGCGCAGGTGCTGTGCATTTGTGAGACTCCAATTCTTCATTTTCCAGCTCTCTCCCTGGCCTTGGCCTTCGGGGACCACATGCAGAGGCCTGAGGGGACGGCTGCTTGTCATGTGGTTTTGATGCTTGAATTGGCATCTCTGGCCACTGAAAGCATTAATTTAAAAACTCTGGATTTTAATTCCATACATTTGGTTCCAGCAGGGAGAGGAAGAGCCAGGGAAACCCTTACTGGGCTTCGAGCAAGGGTGAAGCCTGGGGAACTGGGCGGCCTTGGGTTTCTGCTTCCCCGAGACCCCAGCCTGACTGGGATCCAGGTGGGGGTCAGTGAGAAGCCTCCGATGCAGGCCCCGCCACCTGTCTCATTTTTTTTGAGTTGACCAATGAGTAAAGCGGACCATCACCGAGGGGATGTGAGGTTGCCCTGCGAGTGAAAACCAGGTAATATTATCCCTTACTGAGTGAGCATGGGCTTCATGAAAGGTAACTACTCACACAGGCAGAAAATGTTGCTGAACTAGAGTGGATGTGTGCAAACAGTAGGCGATGAGGGACCTTGCTTTGCTACTATTGTGTCCGCTCAGTACTCAAAGGCCGGCCAGACAGCCAAATCCCACGAAACGCAGTGACATCCTCCTATTCCTCAAAATCCTGGGTCCATGCAGAACAGCCCTTGCTCTGAGGACTAAGACACATCAGGAGAGAAACCCTGTCCCACTCACTTCTGTGAAAAACAGCAACACCTTCCACCACACGTGCAAGAGAAATAAGGAAAGTGAACAGGAGGCAGAGGAAGGGGTCCTGCCAGGATAGCGGCCGAGCGTAGAGTCTGTCAGCTGTGGCCCCAGGGTGGATGGCAAAGCGGGGGCACCCCTGTAGCTGCGGCAGATACACTCGCGGGGTCTTGCTCCTGCCGGGGAGGAAACGAGGGAAATGAAATTCATCCAGGTCTGCCTCACCCAGGCAGCGTTGGTCGTAGTTCTGGGTTTTCAGCTTTGATAATTGTCCTAGAGACATTGGGGCTCCACTAACATTTTCTGAAAACGAAGCCAGGTTTCCACTTCCAGGCT